CCCCAAAACCCCAAAACCCCAAAACCCCAAAACCCCAAAACCCCAAAACCCCAAAATAACCAAATAAGTAATTTAAATTTAAAACATGCAGCAAATGCAAAGCCGCCAATTTCAATATGAACAAGAGAGGTAAGTTCTAACAAGGATTCTGTAAAGTTTTGCAGATTTTCATTGCAAGAAAATTTGCTTCACAGCTAGCTTAAACCTTGACAAAATTAATCTAAATTTATACAGAAATGAGCTAATGAATCGGAAGGAACTTATATTACAAAGACTCGAGAAGGAAAGAGAATTAAGGCGGCAACATATCAGGGAGGGAACAATTGAGCAATTCCAACTAGAAGACTTTAGCGATAACAACTACAGCGGCAACTATGAAAGTTACCGTAGTGATGAATACCAAAACCAACAAATTTCTGAAATGAAGGATCCATCACAAATTTTGCTCCTTGAACCTGATGACTACCATGAAAATGAAATGTATGAGGAGTACCAACCTGAATATGGCCACCAAATTCCTAATATTAATAACGAGGCAATGATGCAAGGATATAACCCTGGGCAACCAATGATACATTCTTATAAACAGGCTCAACCAATGATGCAGCAATATAATCATGAACAGCCAATAATGCAGCATCATAACCAGGAAGAGCCAATGATATATTCCTACAATGACCCAATTAACGAGGAAGAGTATAATGAATTTGGCTTTAATCCTGAAAATCTCTATGATCCTAATACAATGAGTGAGTTGCACCATTCAGATCGAAATAAAGAGAACGAGACTAACTTGACAAATAACCCAAAGAAGGTATTCTATATATTTTATCATATAGAAATCCACTAAATAGAAGAAATCCAAAGCATAATTTCAAGCCTCAGAAATGAACTAGAAAGAGCTGTCAGGAAACGAAGATCCCTAAGCCAAGGGCTGTTTCTAGAAATCTTATTGACAAGCCCTCTACTCTAATGAACCCTACTATCTCCAGTGAGATTGCTACAAAGGAGAAGGAGAAACTTAGAAATGAAGCAAAGATGATTCTTAAAGAGGCTGAGCAGCAAGCCATGGATCAGTGCTCGTTCAAACCTGATATTAAAGTCAACGAATCCTTTGAGAAAGATCTCACTCAAGAAGAGAGGTGGAGAAGACTTCTTGAACCAAAAACTACCAAGATCCAACAATATGAGAAAGCTAAAATTGAAAAAGAAAGGAAGAAAGTTGAGGAAACCTGTAGCTTCCGGCCCAATATTCAAAAACCTCCGGTCGCTAAAAGAAAACCGGCAGATTTCGTGGACAGACTTCATTCTGAAGCTAATAGGAGACAGGAAAAACGTGAAAAACTTAAAAGAAAACTTGAAGAAGAACGCATGAGGGATTGCTCCTTTAAGCCTAAAATTGAAAACCCCAACAGAGTTGGGACTTGAAGGTCCTTCAGCCACAGGCCTATTTATGAAAGAGTTGATGAAATCCAAAAGAATAAAAATGATTACTTGACCAAACTTAAAGTTGAGACCGAAATGAACAATGACCATATCAATTTTCAACCGAAAGTTAACAAACAATCTGAGAAAATTCTTGAAAAGAAAGCAAAAATGGGTCAAAATATGAAGAACCATAGCGTTGTGAAGAGGCTCACTGAAGATGCAGCCATAAGAATCGAGAAGGAGCAGAAGAAAAGGGAGGAAATAAATTATGAAATCTCTGCTCAATACCCATTTAAACCTCAACTTTCAACCTACTCGACTCCAAGTCTTGAGAACAAGAACTTTCATGAACGGCAACAGGAATTTTTACATAAAAAGCATGAAAGACAGGAGTTTCACCGAAACAATGAAGGAAGAGATTTTACTTTTAAGCCTCAGATTAACTCTACAAGTGCTGTTATTGTTGAAGCAGACCCTGACAGATGAACTGAAACCAGAGAACAGAAATATGGAAGGCTTTATAAAACAGATTTTCAAAAAGCTGAGACTACCCGGCAGACAATAGAGCAAGAGCTTTATGGAAAATATGACTTCAAGCCACAAATATGTCCCCTTTCCAGAGTAATGGCTGCTCAGAGGGAGTCTGGGAATCTTCTTGAGTACACTCAGAATACTAAATCTACTCTTGGACATTCTGTACATCAAGAGATTGATAGCAAGAGCAGAAAAGAATGCACATTTAAGCCTAAAATTAATCGGAATTATACTAACGTAAAGTCAGCATATGTGAACAAGTCAGAAATGAAAGCCAAGCTTCAGGAAAAAGCTATGGAGAGGAGGCAGAAGGAAGAACAAAAGAGAATGGACCGTGAATACGAAGAACTTAGAGACTGCACCTTTAAGCCAACTATTAACACTGGAATACCTGAAGCACATAACGAAATAGTTGTTGTCAGAGGCCTCTCTAGGCACATGGAGTTACAAGAACTCAAGCAGAAGAAGGATCATGATCGCTTACAGAGAGAAATAGAGGTGTTTGGGCTTGGTCATAAATTCTCTCCATATATTGAGCAGACAGATATCTCATACATCCCAGAACCTGATGAAAATTAATAACTTTCAATAATTTGACAGTAAAAGGGGTTTTGGGGTTTTGGGGTTTTGGGGTTTTGGGGTTTTGGCATAGGTTGGGGAGAA